TACGACAGTGAAGCATCAGTGCCAACACTGATGTTGCTGTCTTTGATGATGATGAGTGATACTGAAAACGCTGAAGTAATCTTATCGGCTTGCTCAGAATTTGTCAGAGGTTGAGGTTTTTCCGTGTCATCTACGTTCTTTTCTCGGCAGATCCCCGTTGACTTCCGTCAGAAATGTGGATATACGATGTCGACTTACAACCCGATGGTCAGTGAAAACAAACACAAAATAGGATAATTATGCCGGATTGGAGAAGCTTTTCAATCACTGAATACGCCAATTATGTGTCCGGCGACTTCAAAGCCTATGTAATCTATTATTATTTTAGTCTTCACGAGAGACTCGAATGAATCTATCGTTTAAGATATTCTACAACTGAATGTGCTGCACACAGACAGCCTCATGATGAGCCCCGAGAAGGGCGAAACCGGTCGTAGGCTGTCGAAGAGTTTTCAGCAACCTGGTGAGTAGTTTCCTTTATGAAAATATACTGTGATATCTCGAATATCGTGCCAACTGAATCATGAGGCGGCCTGTGTGCAGCACATTCAGTTGTAGAATATCATAAACGAGGGATTCAGTTGGGTCTCTCGTGAAAACCAAATTGATTTGCAAATGAGTGTATTTCTCGGAAAAAGTCCAGTTTGGGTTCGGGTAGAACATAAGGTTGACGGAAACTCGGGGACTGCGCCTACCTGATGAGCCCCAAGAAGGGCGAAACCGGTCGCGGGCTGTCGAAGAGTTTTCAGCAACCTGGTGAGTAGTTTCCTTTATGAAAACTTACAATTTTGCTAGTTGTTCATTGTCTAGGCTAATTCGACACGAGTCAGCCCCTTGTTTACAAAAGTCACAGTGGCTGGATTTTTGCGCCCCATTCACCCATACGATGTGGCTCCATTATTGACCCTCTGGGACAGTAGATTCCGTTCAAGAAACTACCGCATTAGTCCTGAAGCTGTTTCCCCGTAGTCCGTAAATGCTGTGACTTTTAGACTTCTCTGGGTAATTCGGACATCAAGATAATATTAAGCACAGCCCTAAGAGGTCGGATATGCTCTCTCTAGGTTCGTATTACGGGTTAAACGGCGATATTGTTTGGTGTCCAATGTTCAGAAGCGTACTGTCAGACAATGAATGGTTACTTTTGAGACTGGCCGTCGCGAGATATTTCGGCCCATCTGATTGGTCGCCAAAGGCTACCCCGAACCCAGCCTGATTAACCGACTGTAGAATACAGCAGTATGCCGAAAGTAGAAAACTGTAAACCCAGAATAGAGTGGTAAGCATCAGCAAAAACTGACATTTAGACCCGTGATTATCCGCCACTTACCCTCAATAACGATCCCTCTAAAAACAAGTCACCCTTGTGGAAAACACAACCTTTTTCCCTCAAACGCGAATTCGTGCGCTGTCTCCCTAAAAAGACACCATCATATAGGAAAGGTCCAATACACCACAATCTCATGGCTTCTTATCCTCAGGGGATTACTGTACATAAAAATAATAGCTAATACGAAGGATGGATGTCGGCCTACAAATATCATGCAAGCAGTTGCACACAACCATATGCATTTCCACAGTTTCCGACTGTGGAGTCTGTTCCGAAGGTTGCATGGAAGTACGCTGATAGCGCCAGAAACTATTCTGCTAAGTACGAACTTGAAACGCCAGTGGGGGAGAAACTTGAACTATTTCACCATTCAGTTTTCTCATTGATTTGTACAACTCAAAGTCAAATGAAAGGTTAGCTCATCTTGTCGCCTTTTCAACGCATCGCAAACTTTTTCGGCTGTTATTGGCTAATGAGACAGTGAAGCCGTGTAGGTCTTATCAGGACCTACACTGGACAAAAACGTTTTGTGTATGAGTACACCATGGAAACGGAAGAAAACGACTGTATGCATAGGCGGGTTTAGATTGATTATAGCGCCGGTAATCGGTAACAGGCTTAGACCGTATTTGTCTGTTCATATTCACTCAGGAACTACGGTCCACAGATTAGCTGCATTAAAGGTGGAAAAGGCTTTGCTTGATGATTCATGGTGGTTAACTTGGATGCCCATTATCCGCACAATGCTCTCAGCTGCAAAATCTTTTCAAGTGGAGTGAAACTTTCCTCGCCAAAATGTTGGATTTTGCTGCGTATGTGCTCAGGCCAAAAACCGTCCTAGTCTACGTTTATATTTTTGCAGCTCACCAAATTTCATTGTTCACTGAAGCAACCATGCCTCAGGCTGAAAAGTCTTGTGGGATAGTTTCCAGCATCGCTGAGACCCCAGGATGCCTAAATAGGGCTTAAAAGTTTAGACTTGTACTCTTAACTCAATTGTCCGATTGCTTTAGTTCATCTGTGACACGTCACAGCTTCCGAAAATTCACCCTCATTGTGCGAATACTGAGCGCCGTTAACTTGGCTCTGCACGTTCCAATAGGCGCTTTGAAAAACGAAACAGCTACGCTGCTGGATAAAAAATGTTCACGACAGTGGGTATACCTCGATGATCGCCCATTCCACTGCATCCATCCATACGCGTTCAATCTATGATCTCAACCCCAATCGGCTCCCTGAGAAAAGCCAATCAAGACAGTAACGGGGAGATTTAGGGTTGTGTGACAGGGCTGCAGAAATGAAAATTGTTCAAAACCCTCTTGATGGGAGGGTAAATTCATCATGCTTACACTAATCTTAGTTGATTGTACCTCAGTCAGATATTATCCCGCACGGTTTTTTCCCAATGCCTTTTTGGAACAGCTGATAAAACACTGCTTAGTTCTCACCAATCGTAATGGAATTTGCAAAAGAAAACTCGATGTGAAATCTTGACATGTACGTTGGCAGTCGTATTCACGTACCAGAACACGGTGTTAGATGCATGTTTGCATCAAACTTTGAATAGGAAATAGTCTAAACTGGCCCATCTTTCATTTCGCATTTTTAAACATGCGTCAGCCAAAAAAACCCGAGCCATTTCGAACTTCCCAACACGATAGAATGATTACTCACGCCCACAATTAATCACAGATATTACTTATGTCATAAGTCAGTCCGGGACAAAACAGAATTGTGCGTGACATTTCAAGGTGACTGTCAAACTTACCAGAGTGGGGCGAAGTCATGTTGTGTCGCATCCAGAAGCGTTCCAATATAGGTTCTACCTCGCCACGTGACATTGACAACCAAGACACCTGAGAAGTCAAACACGGTGGCATAAGTTGAGTACACCAAAATTCGTGATAAAGAGGAGGACGTATGACAAGGAATCATGTGTGAAGGTATACTAGGTGACAATGGTTGTTTGGTTCTTCTGCCGTCTGCATATGTGACGAATTTGGTTGGATACCAGTATCACTTTCGCGGTGGATAGTTTCATGTTAATTGGAACTTCAAAAATCATCGATCTTTAGACTGGTCTATTCACGCTCATGGGTATAAGAATGCAAAGATCTGGGGTAGAGTAACTCAGCTGGGCAGAATCTCAGCTATGCGAATGGAGCAGTGAGGCGAAACCAGGCGAATCGAAGACTGAATGGCGTTTCAACGACCCAGGCAGGTTGTGAAATAAAACATCACAAACACTGTGTTTCAAGTTTTGTTCATTTTACCACCAAACAAATGATTAATATGGGTCTGTATGTCAGTTTTCACGCATCTGCTTGCATGTTACTATTTAGAAGGGGTGCTTCAATGCCTGATGCCAAAACGTGTTTGTGCCGTAGTGAACAAAAATGGACACGCCGTTATTTCGAAGAATTTACCGGTTAAGCTATATCTTCAATGCAGATTTCATCCTTTAGGTGATGCTAAATTATGCTGAAGCATCAGCAGTGTGTATCTCCAGAAACTCTGGGGAGTCCCCGATTCGCGAGCTCCCAGCTAGTGGCTGAACATTTGACGAGCAGCTGATCAGCATCGTGGCACGTAAACGGGACATGGCACCCTTGCCCTTCAGTCACAGGACCGAAATCAGGAAGAAAGGGGGATTTGAGAATTCATTAAACAACGTATGGAGCAATCTATAAGTGATTCAGAGGAAGAAGGGCCCACTCTCCCAGAAGTCATCACTCCAGAAGCCAGTCAGCATGTGACCACGTGATTTGGATCAGTGGCGCTATATGCTACCTAAGTACAGATTAGTCATAACGGTGATCAGTCGCTCATGGCCAAACAGCTAAAGATTTAAACTACTAGCTGGGAAGTCGCAAGTTCGATACTCCCTGGAATTGCGTAAGATTCGCACCGCTGATGATTCCCGATAAGGATAAAACAGCTTTGCAGTGCTTCTCGTTCTCTCAGTACCACTTATAAGACTAAGCTGAAAGCTTCAAAACCTACTCACACTAACAATAAGTATTATCTGCTTGCTGTAGACCACGAAGAACTAGATAAACCAGATAAACTAGATAAACTCTACAAATATACCTTAATGAAAATGAAACTTAAGGTGTGACCGAGTACCGAGTACGCTTGTTACCGCTTATCGGATCTCGATGTAATCAGTTGCTCCCTCATGTCGAACTATTATGTTCGACGATGCCCAATCCATGTCGATTTAGAGGTTCCTTCGCATATTGTACTTCGTTTGCCCTGAATTGTAACATTTGTAATTTCCAATGTCTCCCTGCACTTCAGACAGGTTAATTTTATGTCGTAAACTGTCCGAGGAGAACATCAATAGCTTAGAATCCGTCTACCGGCTTACGAACGTGATTAATGCATGGGTATAATTGAGCGCCCTAATTCTGCTCTTGTTAGCGACCGTGAGATCACAATTCGTCCAAAAAATTTTCGAATTCAGTCATTCTGTAAGAGATTTTTCTACCGGTGAATCAGTGCCACGAAAGCGTCTCTGTGGATTGGAAAGTTACTTCTGCCCTGACCACAGAAAGACCATTCAAAACTTACGGGTACTGGCTCGTTTACGTTCCAATTGCTTTCGAAGATATTACACTGGACTGTTGAATTATTTATCGGCTTGATATCTGGTGAAATGCTGAAACCACAATGTCAGGTGCTCCTTACCATTCCATTTAGATGATGTAATTCAAAAGAGAAGCATGTGCCAGATATTCCCCTATAACAACACAAGCAAAGTATGGATTGTACTGCCCCTTACGTGAACAACGATAACCGGGGAGTTGAGCTTGGATAAAACTTCCCAGGGTAATGTGCCTTTTGATGCTGGTAAGAACTTCACATAGTTTACAAGGAGTCTGCGGATAATAAAGGAAGTCGTCAGATTTTCTGTCATGGGTCCGCTGAAAGAATGGACCATATACTAGGCGAAGGAAGGTGTTGTCTAACATTTTTCAGATGAACATAGTTGTAGGAAACCACACAACCCTTTGGGCATTTCCTTCTAACTCTTAATCCCGAGTTTCACAAATAAAAATGATCCCTATGATACCTCCACGGAAGACACTACTCGTAAAATTGCCGAAACATTTTTCTTGTTTTTCTACACTGACATTTTAGTCAAAATAATTAAAGCTGAGGAATGAGAGGTGGCCTTTTAAAGCGCAGTACATTAAAGTTTTGGTCTGGGAATATTCACTGTGAAATTTAAAAGAGTGTAGGGTGCCGAATTTTTCGGACGCTAATGAATCCATCGATCAGGCTGACTCACGTACGACCAGCCAACCACATTCTAAACTGACTCGGTCCGAAAAACAGGCGTGAACCAAGAACCTTAAGTGGAGCGTAGGTTATAACACAGTCTCTTAACAGTAAAAAAAAGCCTTCCTGAGGAATGGGTATCGATAACGGATGGCTTAACCCAACACCCAAATGCAAACTTAGTTACGCTAATACGAAAGCAATAATAAATTTTACCGCCACAAAGATAACAGGGTGCATGTTCATTTTTTGCCTGAATTCTTCTACTCATTGCTTCCCAAGTCGTATGATATCTTTCGGTAAGGATCAACTAAAATTTGATGGCAAAGACAAAACCTGGTTGTTATAAATGAGAGGCCTTTGAACACACTGTGAGGGCAGCACGAATTAGCCAGATGCACGACTTTATTTATTTCAAAAGATTGGTCCACCTCGTCTTCGTTCACGTGGGGTTGAATAATGATAGGTACAAAATCTTTTATCTGTTCACTGTTCGCTTGCACGCCCACACAATTTCACTCACTTCTCATGGTTGTCTGATGATGCGAGTATCCAAGCTACATAGAAAAAATCTCCCAACAAACGGCACACAAATGTTCTCACTGGTCATAGTCATCGGTGCAAACCGATGCTGCAATCTATCATTGATGTGGTGGTGATCAGTCCAACTTGACGCCTCAGCTAATTGGGTGCAGCGTTTTCGGACCGAAACTGAACCGCGTTTGTTTTCGTTGTGTTCGAAATAACTGCCACTGTAGGTGACCCGTTTCGTGGACATTAGTCGATTAGAGCGCACAGATGGATGATGTCCCTGATACCGGCCGGCAAGGCGAGCGGCGGGGAACAACAAGGTACGACTGATGGCGCCATAGTTTCCAACACAAAACGACAATCTGATTAGCTCTCTCGAAAGAAGTGGAAAAAATTTGTTTGTCCCGTGTAATCGTCCTTTAATTTTCTTAAAGTATTCGGATAGGGATGCGTTTAATTTTACCACTCCTTAACTGTGGGTAAAAGCGGAACGAAAAGAATTAGAATTAACCTTGAATCCCACGATAATTTAACTGACTTTGGTTTAATAAAAAGCCAGGTAAGTTGTTCTGGGCCACCACATTTATTCTGCTTGTAGGATTGAAATCAATTCAGTGGCGAAATCCTGGATGGCCTGAGACAGCACTTCTAACGTAAATAACCTCCCCGGCGGTCGCTTGTGACGCCTAACTTCTCGTTGCCAACCCAACTGAATATTCATTTGGTGCATGAGAACGTTTCTTCAGGTCCAACTAGCTGTGTTCGCTTTTCGTAAGCAAAAAGTACTTACCTGTTAACCGATGAGGATGAGGGAAACACACACCGATTAGATGGTTTTGCTCCAAGGTTTGATGTACGATGAAGGCGACTAAAGTTACCTGCCGACTTTAGCGAATATACACTCATTTGCAAACTAATTTGGTTTTTCGAGAGACTCATCTGCACTCATCTCTCTCGTTGTGATGTTCTCAGGCAACTGAATGTGCCGCACCAGGCTTCTCAGTCGCTCAGTCGCTACGATATTCGGGATATCGCGACACATGTATATCTTTGTAATGTACTACTCATAAGGTTGCTGACGGCTGTCGACGGATTTTCAGCAACCTTATGAGTAGTACATTAAAAAGATTTACCCGCCGACTGTTACACAGGCAGTAAGAGCTACACAGAGAGTGCTATTTCCCTGGGATTATCATAGGAACACTCCATAATCGGGTCTACAACACATAAGAGCAAATTGAAAATAAACTGCGTAGGGTTGAAAATAGTGAAGTAAGAACACATTGTCTCTCTCAGGGAGACGGTAAAAAGCCAGAACAATGGAAAACCTAATGCAGTTGCAGATTGCTTCGAAGGGGATCATCTATACTCCCTCTGTGAAGTTGACCGTTTAGGAAGTTTGCCGCCATTCTTTCTACACGCGTTTGCATACACTATCAGGCTTTATAGTGGGTATTTGATTGTTCTGAAGAAATGCAGGCAGGTTCACTAACTCAATGTTCAAGTTCCTTTCCATCCTCAATTCACAAGGTATAATTTGAACACATGACCGCACAACTGAACAGCTTCCCACCGAAACACCAACGTCTACGATGTTTATAATGGACCATTGTAGGTTCGAAAAATGTGTGGTTTTATGTCTGATTCTATCCTATCCCTGACTGTTACATATGTTCTTCTTGATGAAAACAAGTTTTACGCTCCAGTGACAGTGTGAGTGAACACATAGTCTCAGCCGGAATGTGTGCGTACAAAGCACACTTGGACACACACCTCAGGCAAATTAGTCGGTCTCTTAGGTTTACCACAAGAGCATTTCATTCAAGACTGACGACACATAGGGAGCAAACAAAAGATCAGTAGGAAGTGGAAGTGCGGTTGGAATGACTCCACCTACTTAAAAAGAGGTATGATGGAGATGAAAGTTTAGGGGAAAATGCTTCCGAATGGGAAAACTTACGAGAGACCATAAGATCCACTAAAGTCAAACATTTCAGAGGAACCCAAGCATGCTGGTAATAGCTATGGTTGGTTACGGGAT